ATATCCAATCCAAGGTGCGGTGGGAGCAGATGCACGAATTTCAGAGAACCTCGTCGTGGTTGATAAGTAGAAAACTTATTGGCAATCCTTAGGCGCCTCTGTCCGGTGCATGAAACCGGAACGGCCCTTTTCCTTCACTTCCCTGCAGGACGTTAATTAGCGCCAACCGCTCTTCGTGCTTCCGTTTGTCTTTTCCCGACACTTGTGCACTATTAATCACATTATTTCAATGCGGTAAGGGACTTAGATGACACTGACCACATTGATTGCCCAATTATCCATCCAATATCATCCATGCCTTCAGAAAGAACGAACATTCTTCACCCAATGATGTTTAGACCATTCCACCGGCTTAGTGTTCCGATGGTAGCATCCACATGGTGCCGGGACCCAATGAACCCTATAATTCACCGAATGGTAGAGATCAGCCACAGTCGGTCTCGGCCTCGGTGCTGTGTGGCGGCCCCTTCCCCAAAACAAATTCCCCAGCGCGGCACTCTTCTTGCATTTCGAAATGTATTTGTTGAATCACTTCTCCCGGATCTCCCACTGCCTGCACTTTTACGTTCATCATTTTCTATTTCTCCTTCTACCGTTCATTTCGGATGTATTTCATTCCGCACCAAGGTCTAAACCATCCGGTATGAAGGCGCCTTGTAAGAGGAAAGTTTCCCCGGACGTGTACGGTCATATTAGGTAGACTATTCAAGACGATAATCAGAAACTTGTCCACTGGAATCAGAGCGTGTTGAACTTGCTTGCCGCCCAAAAGCGAGCACTGAGCCTTCCTCGACATCGAGTGGCGCCAAGTCCATCAGTCTACTCGCTCCTATTTCGTCAGAAGCCGCATTGGCATATTTATATCTTCGCCACGGAACGCGACTCTTTCTTAAGTTATTGGAACCTTGTCAAAGACCGGGCAATTTTGAACCGGAGCGCCACCTTCCTGTAATCTCATATCAACCCGAACCGAACCAGGCAGGTCTCGTTATGCCTCAGAGGATTGAAATTGTACCTGTACCTAAAGCTTAGATCAGTGATCTTGTACAGTGACGGTGTCGGATCGGATCGCCTTTCTCCCTCCGTTAGGTACTCCGAATTCGCAGGAAAGTCCAAAGGAGTAAAAGGACCGGACCCTTGAACTCCCCCAAGCTCTCGTTCTATTGAAAATCATCATGGGCTTCGCGAATCAGAGATCGAGGAGGAAAGCGCTCCAGGCACTGATGCAGGACAGCATCCCTCACGACCAGCACGCGATAGTTTCCTGTTCCACGCATTCAGTCAAAATATCGTACGCGAGAATCAGTAAGATGAAAGGCACGAAACAAGCAGGGAGGCGCCACCGAGGGAAGGTTGAGGGAATTAGACGTGTAGCCTCATTGACACAGTCAGGGTAGATGACTTGGCGAACACTCGACAAACAGACAAGTGTTCAGGCTGCCTTAATTTCATACTCCGTGAACCTATATAGATTTCCAAATGCAGCGAAAGACCTACATGAATCTGTGATGTATCATTCTGATCCCGAGGCCGGGTGCTGAAGGGGGGACTAAAGCGCTGTCTGCCCCATCCGAGTCGGAGCTGAATGACATAATGAAATTGTCAAAATAGTTCGATGCTGAATTCACCGGTGAATAGGCATTTAGTTACAGAACACCGTCGCATCAATAACTCAAGTAAGTACTCATCATATAGAGACGCAAGGAATCGACTTGCGACTGAATAGCAACCAATAGCAAGAGTTGTAAGCCGCAACTCGCGAATCACCGATGACAGGTGCACACAAGGTCAAAGGTCCCTAGCAGCCTTCATGGAAATCTGGAAACAAACGGCATAGGGACTGAGGTCACAGTCGCAATGACCCGCTGATTTCCCCAAGTTCGATAGAGATATGAAGAAGAACAGCGAAGGCGCCTACTTGCACCTATATTTCGGCATCGAGGATGATATTGTCCGGAGATGTAAGTAGCTGTCGGGTCGCGATTGGTAAGGAATGGCCAACGGGAGAGGAAGATGACAAGCATCTTCGGCCAGCCGCAGGACCATAGTACAAAGCTGAATATAGAGAATTGGATAAACGACCGGTATTGGGGTAACGGAATGTACATCATTACCGGTAGCAAGACTTGCGACTCGGGTGACGCCTTGATATCCCCATGAGGACTAGCTCGTAGTCCAGAAAATCATCACGGAAACAATAGTCTTTGAACGGTTAGAGAGGAAGTACGTTGAAAGCCTTACATCACCGTAAGAATGACTGATATTGTCTCTTGGTGAGATGTCAAGTAGAAAGACATCCTCAGCGCTCATATAATACATAAAATATCCGAACGATTGTTAGCTGCCAAAAAAAGCGGCACTGAAAATGCGTAAGGGTTGTAATCATGACTAGGCGTGAGTCATCTATACAAAAAATTGAAAAGATGCCGGATAGCCTGAGCTGGTAAAAAAAAAAGATGCGGTTGCAGTGGAAGGCAAGGACATCATCGTCGTGTCGCGATTGTGGCGTGAGAGAACCGTTTTTCCGCGATCGCCCACATCTCCTTCAGGTTACGGCCCGGGCTTGGACTGGCCTTTAATCTCTCCTTCGTAATTCATGTGCTATTCAAATTTCCGGCCGTAATCTACGAACTCCAGATTTATTTCTCTCGACGATGAAGGTAAAGGTGGCTAGTCCTAGCCCAGTCGAGAAAATACAATCACAGAAAACTCCCTCTCGTCACTTCTATGACCAGAACTGTGCTAATCGGCGGTCAGATGGGAACGGGGCAGTGAAGACGTTATAACGTCTCTGAAACCGTAAACTGCATGTGAGTCTGACGCGTTTCCTGACTCCCGACTTGCGTTCGCTATGACAGATGGAAATGATTTCGAGACGCTTCACGATTGCCGCTAAACTTCTGGATGACTGTCCTGGGAAACAGTCGTCAGTTCATCTTAAAGAGCGAAAGCCGAAGCCGACCACTGAAGAATACCTCCAGGTTGACAATGCAGCACGTTACTTTAATGTCCTGACTTCTCGAACTCGTGAAGTCTGGCGTTGGATAAACATAAATCCTGCGTATTTGTCGAGTAGTCTCTAACAGTCATATCATTCATTCTCTGTTCCCCTGTCTAGCTTCCGAATCTAGGGTCCCTGGAGCATGCTCATGAATACCTATTAACGGCCGAATACAAAAGATGAGACGCACCACTCTGTTATTCGACCATTGACACTTTACCGTCACCGTCGCGCGAAACCTTCATCGAAAAATGGCAGTGCGTCGCTGGTGCAGTTCGCGCGCTCAGAGATTGTCTGAAGTACCAATGATACTAAGGAAACGGAATCAGTCTAGGAAGGCGTATAACCATACCTTGACATACCTGTAGACCTCCGAGTCTGTTACGCAAAAAGCTCAGGGAGCCAAAATCCGAGTCCGTATGGACACCGATCGCCATTTGCTCGTGTATCCAGGAGGGACTCGGAGGCCCTTCGTCGTTCGTTCTTCGCTTCTGCTGTACTCGTCCTTGAGGTACGGCTCCGTCCGCATTTCTGTCGATAATGCGAGCCTCAATGACAACGTTTCGTTCACCGACAAAAAGGATATGGTATATTCCATTTTCGCGTATACATGGGATGGGTAGGTAGAATGGACAGCGTTAGTGGACACTTTTCGCGTCAAGCTTTCGGAGTTTGAACTGAGATCCAAATCTATCGACATCACGGGCCGCAACAAGCTTGGCTGTGCTCCGGCTCGGGATTCTGAATACCCTTTGCTTTATCCCTTCACAGAACCACCGGGTATTCTGTACGTATCATGAACCCAGCGAGAAGCTGCCAGACTGGCTGCTTCCTTTCGGTTTCTTAGTCATGGTCATCGTCGCATTGGAGCTCTCTGTATTCCTGGAATCCTTGTCCGTGGTTTTAGTCTTTTCTGGCTGTCTTTTTTCGCGGTGTTCTATTGAGACTTAGTCCTTCTCTTGCTGGCTCTACTATACGGCGACACGGCCCGTGATTTACTGGGATCATTATTATCGTTCAATAAATCAGTGACGGCGTGAAGAGTGCACGCGTAAGTCGACATATCGTGACCTTGTCTCTGATTGGCTTCCTAATCACCTTGACAGAATACATGGTGGGGGGATATTTGGCCAGGTAATCCATAGTCCTACGGTGACCCCATGTATGTATCAAATCTTCTCCTGCATGCTTTCTAAAGCCAACCTTAGATATCGGTATTTGAACCGCGGGACCGATGGACAAGTAGAAAGCCGAAATCCCTTCTATCGGAGTTCGCATATCAGCGGATCGAGGAATTTCTCAGATGCAGTGTGAACGCTGAATCAATGACATGCGAAAGGTACGTGCAAGTCACCCTGTGATTAGGAAGGATACTACTGATTTTTGACACAGTTTTCGAGCTTTCAGCAACATTATCCCCATTGGTTTCGGTGGTCGGGCCCGATGCTGGTTGGATTTCGAACCTTCCACTCTCAGGCTGGGATACACCTTTACCACACCAAATACTCCTCTACTGACCTATAGTGATTTATCACCTCCTTATTTGAACCTTCCATTTTCCATCGGTCGTCGCTACCTAGATCGCCCAACTTCAGCCGACGTAATGAAGCCTGATCGTGATACGTGCAATGTCAGATCTAAGCGTTTGGCGCAATCTGATAGAAATGTCCAAGGTGTCAGGTATCTATCTTCTCATGGCGTGCTTTATCATCACGACTGATTTTCACCAGGATTTCTCTTCTCTTTTTGGATTGCTATCCTGCAAATTCGAAAGTTGAATCTTCTTTGGCAACTAGCTTCGCAGTAGCTCAAGCTGAGGCGTCTTATTTTTATTTATATTTTTTTTTCTGGTCGACAGTACAGCTTTTGAACACGCCATGTCGCCGTATTCTCACATTTCTGAGGTAAAATCCACTTTTGGATGAAAAATTCGCCGGAGCAACCGGAAGACAGCATGATGGACCAAAAAGGATAGTGCGCTTCCGTAAATGGAATGCGAATCTTGATGGTGCTTCTTTCAGAGGTTATAAAAAGGGACGACGGCGACGTCTCTTGACTTCTTACCACCACCATCTCCCCCTCCCTTCCTTATGCCCTCCACCGACAGCGTCCAGCCTTTCCTCGCCGTTCATGACCATAGTCCACCACCACAGAACGGTGCTCGCCCTCGACAACCATCTGGACCACCTACGATGTCGATCTGGGCGCCCCAGCCTCAGCCGTCAGAGTCGACGTGGCCGAAGACGCTAGACTCGTTCTCGAGGGTTGCTGAGAAGGAAGTTCAGCAGCAGCCCTTGCGCTCGATACAGGTTTCTTCCCAGCAGGTGCCGATGATCACCCGGGAGGACGTTTTTGGACCTGCACCCGGTGGATGGACGACGACGACGACGAAGGAGGTCGGCGCTATCGGTGATGGGCGAAAAAAGAACAGTCCGACGGGCGACTTTGACGATTCTGTACGCATTTTCATTCTTCTCTTGTCTCAATTTCGCTGACCTGACTATGTGCAGCACGTCGAGCAGCTGCTTCGTACTCTGAATCTCAATTCACCCGACCCGTTCGTTCAGCAAAAGCCTGCCCTCAATCTCAACTTCGAGACGTCGGCGCCAGGATCCCCAGATTTTTCCCCTGCGTCGGTTTCCTCTGCTCTTCTCACTCCCACCGACCTCTCTCCGACTAGATCTTTCGACGTCAAGCAGCTTCAATCTCCGTACGAGCTCGCTACAGGCCCCCGTTCTGGCTCGTATATTTCTCAGTCCTCTTTGCTATTCGAACCCAGCTCGCCGACCAGAATCCATCACATCTCTGATAATGGCGCTTTATCTCATTCACCGACGTTCAGTTCTTCGCAGATGCCACTTTCTGGTATTCCTTACCTACACGCTCCTAGTCAACTCCACTCTTTGCCTTACTACTTAAAATCCTACGACCCTCATACTGCAGCTGCCGTTGGCAATATTGTCCCTCAGCAACCATACTCCGTCTACCAAACTTCGCCTTCGGACCAAATTCCCTCACAGCTCTTCAATTCCCCGCAGCCTCCGATATCCCATCGCCAGGAAACGACGACCAATGTTAGTATGAATCGCGGCCACCTTAGTTCCAACGATTGGCACATACCGCAGGCGACTGTTCAGCCTACACAGGAGCATTTCTCTGCACCCGCTGAATGGATGCGCTCGGATGAAAAGTCGATGGTCAATGCTCTCGGCATCAATTCTGGAGGCGTTGGTATTGAGGAACATTCCTCTGGACTTCGTTCTTCGTTTTCTTACCAGCAGTCATCGCCGTCGTCGCCTCAAGGACAATCATCTCACGAGGTACGGTGCTTAATACTCAAATTTGACTTATTCTGATGCGCATATATCCGTTTTCTATCAGCCGATCAACTTCCTGTCACTCCTTCACCCGTCGTCTACTCCACCATACCACTCTTTTGTTTCTCGGATCATCAAGGGATCAGATCAGCAAGCGTCGATTTTCTTACAGCAGAAACTCAAAGTTGCTGATTTGAATGAGCGCGCCAAGATCGTGGACGCAATTTGTGCTCGAGGCTTTGAGATGATGGCTCACAGGTGGGTTGCTGAAAATCCTTACAGATATGTCGTCTAATTATTTCTCAGGTTTGGTAATTGGGCAGTCCAACGTTGCCTTGAAGCCGCCTCGACGGCTGAGGAAAGAAGAAAAATTGTCGGATGTATGAGGTAAGACGGCCACTCGTTATTTATTATCTATGTCACTAATTTATTTCCTCTTGAAGGGGTCGAATCGTCGAGCTTGCAACCAACTGCTATGGTTGCCATGTCCTTCAAAAAGCGCTCGACTGCGAAGAAGACATTCGCCTCGCAATCGTTTCCGAATTACTTCTTGGGGATCCCGCTCAAACGCTAGTGAATAAACATGCAAGTCACGTCTGGAGTAAGGTACGAGATCGTCTCCCAATACATTGTCTTATCCCTAACAACCGCCCGTAGATCATGGAGCTCTCGTGGACTCCTCCGGCGCCACCGATCTTTGCTTTGTACGTATCTAGTCCACCACTGTCTGCTGGCGGTGTATTTGATCGCCGTTACAGCGTCAACAAGTCACTCAAAGGGAAATGGGCTGCGCTCGCATGCCACGAAACTGGATCCCTCGTTGTTCAGGTATGACTTCACCATCGAACTGAATGTCTTTCTCTAACTCGGGGCACTATTTCGCAGCACGCTTTTGAAAACCTCGAAGACTCTGCCAAGGACGGCATCGTCGACGAGCTGCTGAACCAGGGCCCTTCTGTTTTCAGCGAGGTTGCAAAAAGCCAGTGGGGTTCTTATTGCATTCAACATAGTTCGTTCTAGTCCGCCCTTTATTGACGCCGTTTCTGACGATCCTTTCAGTCTTAGAGCACGGGTCTGACAAGCATCGTCAACTAACACTCGACCACCTGGTATCAGGTCTTCTTGAATACGCAACTAATGAACAAGGGCATAAATCGGTGACTAAGGCTTTGAAGGAAGGTGGTAAAGACACGCTCGACAAGGTGGTCAAGAGGATGTGCGAACCTGCGAAAGGGTATGGGCTTGTTTCTTCTTCTCTGTCAGCCGCAGGCGTTCATGTTCATTTTGTATAGCGCCCGTCGCGCAATGATCGTCGACCTGGCACTGTCGGTGACTGGAAGTCAGTTGATCGCCAGTGTCTTGCCCACGGTATGTCCGCTGTTATCCTTCTAGACTCGATGTATTAATTAGATATGTAAAGGCCGACAAGGACCAGCGAGCGCTTCTTTACGAGTGCATTAGAGGCCATATTGTCACCTTGCGTGGGTGCAAAACCGGCTCAAAAGTTATCTGGTTATTGTGAGTCGCCCCGCTTTATTTCCATGAATGTCAAACTAATCTATACCTTACACTTAGTGATCGAATGGTACGCTGCTTTCACATGTCGCTCTTCGATAACTGACGCATTTCATTGCAGCGCGCATACTACGGCTACTGAACCTTATTCGCTTAAGCTCCATCTCCATCGGCTCATTTTCTTCGGCAATATCATTCCATCGCTATCATCATCGCTCTTATCTTATAGCAAACTCGACCGGTAACGGCACATATCTCAAAAGATACTCTTGAACTCGCATCGACATCATCTGCAGATTTTTCGGCTCTCACCAAATTTATTCTAGGAATCAAACTCACGAATCAATATTCACCGCATACCATATATCATTCCTCATTGACCCTCTGCACTTTATCAATCTCGGAACATCTCGCATTACATTCATTCTTCACTTCGCATATAATATGCCTGACATAAAGCTCGGATTTCTCGTGCTTCTTTTTCTTCCGTCTTGCAAATACATACCGCATTTATTTCACTCCCGATTGAGCAGCCATTTTTATTCTGTTACTTATATCTGTCTGTATCGTCGTCGCTTTCGCATTGCACATTGTATCCCCCCCCCTTCGACGTTGTTTTTTTGACACGTACTACCCTACTTTCTTTGTGTAGCATTTTCGAGATCTTGTAGCTATCGCACATTGCAAATAATGTTTATAGACATGTTGTCGACACTTTGTTGTTATGGACTGACTTTGCCATTCAATCGTGTCTCTCGGCCTGTTGACGTCTCTATTTCATATATATCATGGTTAGACCGTCGAGCTCCGAATGTATTCCTTCGTCAGCTGTTTTTCTATGGTCAGCATCCTCTAAGCTCGTCTCGTCTCAGCGCTGATTTATTGCGAGAGAACAACGCTTGTCAACAATCCCTAAACTGTCTGTGGAATTATAGCTTCCATCGGACCCATTGGTCTCTCGTTAGAGCTGAGAAACAAATCGGCATTGAAGCATGCGTATTGAAGACAAGAAACAGCAGAGATGAAAATGCAGTAAACAAGGGATATTCTTCGCTCTACACGGACTTGAAGTCGCGTTCTTTATTCAAGGATCGTTCCTAGACAAACCCACCATAATTTAACTCCACTTAGCGTCCACTCTTCAGCCCAGAAGAGCACCCAAATGTGTAGATGGCCTTTGAATTGGTGCTACGGTAGCAGTACTCGTTATTTGCGAGCGTTGATCAACCGCTGTATATCGAAGAGCAAGCGTCACTAGTCAACAGGAAGTGGTAATACATCTTCGGAGGGTTATGAGCTCGAAGAATTCAGAGCAGCACCTTCGGGCTGCAACAACGTTCAACGATGAAGATCACCGGTGCTTCCTTCCACACATGCTGCTCCCGATGCGTACCGTCATCTCTAGTATTCCGTCATTTTAGGAAATCGCAATTCTACTCACGACAAACTGGGGAATGTGGGAAAACTTCTTTCGCGTTTTTGCCCCTATGATAAAGTCGAACATGAAAAACGACGTACCACTCACTACCCTTGGGCGAAAAGACTAAACCTAAAATGTTCTTTTATCCTCCCAACAGCACCATGGAACTCTCCGTTAAACAGAAATAATCGAATATCTACCATACGTCCCATTTGATGTAAGCTAATAAGCACGGTTCACGGGGAACATCTCCCTCCCTCCTTCTTCAAGCGGTGAAAGATAACAGGATTCCCTTTTTAATGTCCAATCAGTGTTCTTCGTTCAGGTAATCAAAACGAGCTATCTTATTTTAGTGGCCCGAATCTCTTTACCCTCATTCCTGGACCTCTCATTTTCTAACGGCAAACGACCCAGCCGCCGCCATCCCTCTACAGACTAGAAAACTCGGTCATCCTTCCCTCTCATCTGATCGAGTATTAAAAGGATAAATAACAGAGCGGTGCATACTATCTTTTCTCTGTTTAGGTTGGAAGGTAAGTAGGGGGACTAGGAACGAACGATAGAGAGTATGAAGTAACAAGCCCGCCTGATTTATGTTTATCAGTATTTTTTTCAAGGGCTGGTTTCCACTTGCAATGAAATAAGGGGCACAGCAATCTATCGTGCATTAGCTCGAAATTAATGTACTTATGTTCACGAACATCTGACATTTTCTTCACACGTGACGAACGCGAATAGGGTGTCTCCTGACGCCCCGTCGGGATCCCCCGCAATATAGGCGAAGCTCAGAGTTTCCCACCTGACTCAGTAAGATGATACCTATTTTGCTAATAAACCTGGCAATGAGGAGGATTGGTATACATCGATTCCAACTCTTCACTTCAGCAGTCTACTGGTATCCTTTTTTGTGCGTCAGATACCTATCCGGAAAGAAAATGGATACATTTTTTGAAGACATCACAGAGGACTGCTCCAGCTGGCATACGGCCGCCCACTAGCACAGTTTTGATCATAAAAATAAATTGAGAGGCGGGTTCTCTGTGTTTGCATTGGGTTGACTTCAGTACCGGCCTCATCATCTAGAGAGACCACAAGTGGGTCGTCTGCATGAAGCTCGCAATTTTTACAGTTCAGGTATTAGAAAAGCAAAGGAACATTTGAGAGAATAAAGGGCACTAGAAATTTTGCGTCGTCACCTGCGTGGTACCACGCGGACCACGCAAGTCCTTAGTTGAACTCACCTTGAGACTACATATATACTGTGCGACACTAGGAATGCTTCGCTAAACATATCCTTGTATCTATTTCTTATTCATTGTTGAATTGTCTGTAACAAACAGACCTTTGCTTAAAAATGTTTCCAAGCTCAAATTTAGCCCATTAGTGTTCAGGGCTCCGAATCTATGATCTATATATGCCACTACATCTTAAATGTAAATACGAAAAGGTTAAATGTCCACAACTCAGATGCTATCTCACTCTAGCTGTTTAAAGATATTAAACCACGGATGGTCCCATATTATGACCATCAATTTTGCGACGATTTAGCATGGATTTAGTGTGTCAATGGTTTGAGTACCGACTCAGCTGGTCATAAAGACTAACTTACTGACGGCTATTTCTTATGTGAATATTTGCCCCGATCACGCAACCGATCACGCCAGCGTACCACGCCGCCACGCCGCCACGCGACCACGCAGGCTTACCACGTTCCACCACGCTGACAAACCACGCAGCCACACAAGCCATGCAGGCACCAACACGCAGGCCGCACACATAGACCACGTGAGTCTTTATGTGCTCTTACATAGTGTGTTGAACTTCATGTATCTATATGTTAAAACTATTAACACAGTACAATAACGTCGGATCAGCTTGTTTTCGTGGGGTTGTTTGGGAGTCATCACATACAGAGTACCTTCTTCTCATTGTGTCTTCAGTGAGAGGTAACCCCACTTCGTGTATCTCACCAATTTTCGCTTAACAAACGACCTTTGTGACCTTTTCATACCATTGAGACATTCAAGAAATCGTTTGATTCAACAGAAATGCTATTAATGATGCTAAAATTCTTCAGGAGTGTCGGTTGCACTAATCTGGAGTATACATCAGGCTACATATTCAGAAGATGATCCCGTGAAGGTGGCAACAGACGGGAATGGACGTGTCGAGGTCATGTTCTATGGACATTTGATCGTACCTATGATGTGTCACCACGCTGACGACCACGCAGCCACGCTCCACGCGACCACGCAGAATTCTTCTTGTCCGAGAATAAAGGCTGGTCCATGGTAGTAACATGGAACGGTTGTGATCGCCGAATATCACGTTCACACGCCACAACCGCGAACAGGATGATTACGTTATCTTTCTTTTCCTCCGTGACTTCGAGTCTTTGACCGCGTCTGTTTTTCAGTTCGTTTGCCCACTCAGGTTTTCTCCTACATCTCCTTACATGAACAATTCATTCCTATACCACAAGATCGCAATGCTTTCCGTGTAATCCTACCTACCCTAGTACCTACCTACCTTGCCGATTCTTTCGGCCTATATTGGCTCGAGAATCAGCTTTTCTCTACTATATATGGGCCGCCGCGAAGATGTCCTTCTACTTGACATCTCATCAAGAGACTGTTCAACGTCACTCCAGCGGCGACATGTGAGACCATAAATAAGCGTATTCACTCTCTAAGACTCTAACCTTTTAAAGGCTATATCATTGTTTCCTTAATTTCCCGGACTACGGACTAGACTTCATGCGGGTATCAAGGCGTCATATGTCACCGGCGATAATGCACATCTCGTTACTCCAGTACCGGTTGTCTTAGTCAATTTTCTGTATTCAGGGCCCTACAACGGTCTTGCGGCTAGCCGAAGATGCTTGTCATCTTAATCTTCCTGTGCAGGTGCCCTACTAATCAGCAATCGACCCGCTACTCACGTCTATCGGCAACATCTCGATGCCGAAATGTAGGAGCAAGTGGGCGTCCTTCGCCGTTCTTCTTTCACACATCCCTCGAACGATCGCGGCTGCGACTCGATCTCCTCCAGTACCTATGCCGTTTTTTTTTCATGATCTCCTTGAATACTACTACAGGGTCCTTGGACCGTGGGTTCATCTGTCATCGGAGGTTCGCGGGTTGCGGGTCAGGACCTGTTACCCTTTCACTAGCATCGGGCGCAGTCCTTTTTCCTTGTGTCACTGAAATGCCACAGTGTATGAACATGACGAGTGTTCGGGTTATTTATATGTCGGTGTTCTGCACTGAAATACTTATTCACCGGGGCATTTTGGATCAAAGCTATTTCACGCTTGGCTGGGCTAGGCTGGGCTGCCGCGCTTTCATTGACGCTCTCATATAGCGCCCTACTTCCCCTCAGCACCCGGCCTTGGTGTCGGAATGATGTAGGTCTCTATCTGTATAGGTTCACGGACTACTGAAATTAAGGCGGCCGTTAAACCTCCCTTTGTTTCTCAAAGCGTCACTCCACCGTGTCAATGAGGCTACACGTCTATTTTTCCTCATCTCATTTTTTCACTCGGTGGCGCGGCCTTGTTGTCATCCAAGTGATCCTTGCGTAATGAGCGCCCCTAGAAGAGATCGCGTACTAGGTAGTCGTGGGAGCTGGTTACCTATTCATTCTCTCTCGATCGAGATGTTTCGGGATTGAGATTCCAGCCAGCACAGCCATGATAATTTTAAATCAAAGGCAAAAACCTTCAGGGAAACTTCAAGTGAACGAATATACTTTCCCCTTTCGACTTTCCTCGGAACTCGAAGTGTCTAGTTAAGGAGAAAGGACGATTTAATACCAGCGTCCTGCGTCATTGTGATTCTAGGTTTTAGGTACCGGTACGATTTCAAGTTCTAA